ATTCACACAAAAGTAAAAAGGTTTAATTATTAATCAGATGAGTATAAAATAAATGTATAATCGTCATATTTAATTTAAATAGAATAAATATGATTTATTGTGGCACAAAATTTAAAGATTTGTGATCAAAAATCACTAAGCAAAACTTTATTTTTTTAAGTTCTTTGGAATAATATTTTTAGACTTCATGTACCCTACAATCTGATTTGGTATTTCAGCAAGCACCTCTCGAGCTAAGTTTGCCTTGGCTAAAGTAGGATTATCACATGACTGGAAATCTTTAAATGATACAAATTGTGTAATGTCTCTAGATGCGCGTACACCATTGWCTTCTAATGGGACCGTATCAGCGTCCAGTTCTTCCATCGCATCAAAATCTGCATTACCTACCCCCACTATGATAATTGACATAGGCAAAGATGATGCATTGATTATGGCCTAAATAATATTAGTTAAAAATGAGCAATACCCCTTCAATCTACATTCATGAGCGCTTATATTGATTATTTTTATAAATAAAGAGAGATCATAATAAACGTTAATAACCATAAGTACCTGTTTAGTGTGGAACATATCTGTTATCACACCATCAGTAATGATTAGTAGAATAAAATACTGTGTTCCATCTTGGTATGCTTGCGCAAACTTTGCAACATGGTTAATTACTGGACTAAAGTTTGTTGGACCAAATAATTGAACACTCCTAATGCAATGGTGATATGCATTGATCACACCTTAAAATTATGTGAAAGAAATAWTTTTAAAAACTTTAGTGTTCACTGAAATAATGAGTCTTTTACGCTAAAGATCATCCCATATTTAGCTTAAGATGTAATTAGTATTTGATATATTTACCTTCAATTCCAGCGCAATATGGATCACTGGCTTGCAAATTCAAGAAAAACTCATGGGAAACTTCGCCATGTGGTGGAATTCGGGCACCAAAACCTAAAGCTGGAAACACTTTATCACTATCATAGTCTTGAATAATATCGCCCACAGCTAAAAGTGCTTGTTCATATTGATTGGGTCTGTTACTAAGGTAATGTAATGAATTTGGATCTTTTGGATCTCCATTAGACGCTATTAATAGAAATATCACAAAGATTATATTAAATTAAATAAATAATAATGCATAAACTATAAATTATGTTTAGATGATGCTCAGTTTAAAAATAGTTTGATCTAAAGATTTCTGCAATTGCATAAGTGTAAGATACATTTAATTAAATAGTAAAATTATGAATCTATAGACCTAAAATA